ACACAGGAGAATGGATTATCATCTGATAGTGATGATATAAGTAACAGCATTATTATCAATGATGATAGACAGCAATGGGCCAGTATTAGTTATCAATTGAAAGTGACAAATTGGTCTTTTTGATTTGATGAATTCAAGATCAGAGTTGTCTCATCCAATGTGCCAAGAATATACTGAGATGTTGTTGGATAGTTTGGGTAAACAGTTAACAGACACTTCAAAAGAACATGATTGCTATAAAGATTTTTTAAAGAAAGTAAGTGAATGGAAATATTATTAGCGATGAAGAGACTGAAAAATTACAAAAAGAAATTCAAGAGGCAAGCCATTGATAGCAATTAATTATGCAATTTCATATATATGTTATTTATAGGCAAAGTTCATAATTATAATATTAATAACAATGATTAAGTTATTATTTATTAATTTATTTATTTTGGTGGATAGATTAAAAATAAAGAATTGGCAGCAACTGATATGTTGAAAGATATTGAACATGAGAGAGAAGTATTGAAAAAAGAATTAGAAAAATTAGAGGCAGAAACAAGTCAACTTGATGAGCTCGAAGAAAAGTAATTACATACATACATAAAGAATATCTGATTGTTTGTTTTGATTATTACAATTATATCTATACTAATTATCATAATTTTTTTTTTAAAATAATAGTTATTGGAAAGAATTTAATAATTTTCATATTCAATTACAATCTTTTCAAAATGATAGGGATAGTATAAATTTAAAATATGACCATGTATGTTGTGGAATCCCACTTCAAACTGTATCAAATCCTTTTTTTGTTGATTTCATCAAAAATCTTTGTCCAGGTTACAAACTACCAAATAGAAATACTTTCTCCAAGCTCCTGGATTAATCAGGAATTAGACAATATCACAAGCATAATCCTTGAAGATATAAAATCCTCAAACAATATCACCCTAGGTTGGAAATTATTTTTTAATTGATTATTTGTTAACTTGCTGATTGTTTTAAAAAAAATTCTATTTTTAAATTTCAGGGTTAGATGGATGGAGTGACTCATCTGGAAAGTCAATTTATGCATTCATTTTAACTCTTCCATCTAAGAAAGAGTATGTGTATTCATTAGAAGATTTGTCTCTCCACTCTCACACTGCTGATTACATGTCTAAAAAAATATTGAATATTATTGAAGAGTTGGGTCCTGAAAAATTTTCTTCAATTGTATCGGACAACACATCATCAATGGTTGCTGCAAAAAAAATAGTAACCAAAAATACAACCATATTATTCCTATCAGATGTATTACACACCATATCAATTTACTAACAACAGATATTATGCAACATGAATTTTCTAAAAAAACCATCAAAAATTGTATGAAATTAGTTTCTTTTTTTCAAAAATCACATCAAGCGGGAAGTATGTTGTCAAAGGATATAATGAAAAACATTATTGCAGGTGGTGGTCTCAAGGGATTTTCCAAAACTAGATGGACCACTGCCTGGCAATGTCTTGCATCAATCCAAAGATGCGAAAGTTCTTTATGCAATGTATGATAAAGTTTTCTTCTTAATTTCAATATAAATTCACCATAAAATAATTCTCTTTTTATTTTTAGATCTTGGAAAAAAACCCTGAAATTTTAAATAATTCTATTAAAAATCTACTTGGAAATAGATTCTTTTTTCAAGATGTTGAGGAACTTATCAAAATAATCGAACCAATTAAAGAGACAATAATTTCATTAGAGTTTAAGACCGCATCATTAACAGATTGTTTTATTCGTTTAATAAAACTTGGGATGGCTGTGAAAAACTATCCAACCATAGTAGATCACTCCTTTCGTTCGTTTTGTATCGAAAAATTCAATAAAAGGTGGAAGCAGTTTGATTTTAAAATTTATTTACTTGGCTATTTTTTTCACCCTTTTTATAGAGGCAAGATATTTAAAAAATTTATTTATTCATTTTTTCCTATCTTTTTCATAGGAAAAGGCCTTAACATTGACATTTTTAGGCAAATATGTCATACAGCAATTAATTTTTGGATTGAAATGGGTGGAGGTAAAAATTCAGCTAGCCAATTAGTTGCCCAACTTTCAGCATATAAAAACTATACAAAACCATATGAATTTGAATTTGTACATGATTTACATACTATAGAAAGTTGGTGGAACATGATTGAACAAAAAGATAATTGGATCCAAAAATTAGCTCTAAAAATTCTTTTTATAACATCACACAATGTGGGTTGTGAAAGGTTATTTTCTATCTTAGGTTGGATGTGCTCAAAACGTTGTAAAAGGTGATTATTTTTATGTTTCTTCAATTAATCAAATTATAATTTTAATTATTACAAATAATTCATTACAATCAAATTATAGATTATCAATTGAATGTTTACAAGCTATGGCTAAATTACACACGTATTATGTTGCTAATATTTCGACACAAACTAATTATACTTACACCAACATTGACAATGAAATTTTTTATGAAGAATTAAATCAAAGCTTAGATGATGAAATGGAGTTTTCTAATGAAGAGATAGAAGATTTAGAAGTTGAATTGGATGAATTAAATGAATTTAATGAAGATGAAGGGGAAGAGGAAAACTTGGATGAAAATAATCAAGAGATAACTGATGTAGGTAATGAAATAGTTATTGAAAATTACCTTGATCTTACAGATCAAGAGTTACAAAGAGCATTAGAAGTTGAAGTAAGAGTAGTCATCGAGGAAGAAGTTGTTAATTATGATCATGGTAGTAGTGATTTTGATGTTGATGAGCTGTTGAACTCTAACCTATAGAATAATTATAATTTTTATATTATTAATATGTTTAAGGAAAATTTTTAAAAATAAGTATAATAATAAATATGCATTTTGACCAATAAAATCATTTCAACTATCAAATCATTTCAATTATCCAAAATTATTTTGACTATCCAAAATCATTTCAACTGTCCAAAAATCATTTTGACTTCATGTATAATTTTGACTATCCAAAATCATTTCAACTTTGTGTATAATTCAACTTTATGTATAATTTTGACTTCATGTATAATTTCAACTATCCAAAATCATTTTGATTTCATGTATAATTTTGACTTCATGTATAATTTCAACCATCCAAAATCATTTCAACCATCCAAAAGTATTTCAACCATTCAAAAGTATTTCAACCATCCAAAAGTATTTCAACCATCCAGAATAATTTCAACCATCCAGAATAATTTCAACCATCCAGAATAATTTTAACCATCCAGAATAATTTCAACCATCCAAAATCATTTCGACCATCCAAAATCATTTTGACCATACAAAAATCATTTCGACCATCCAAAATAATTTCAACTATCCAAAATCATTTTGACTTTGTTGAAATTTTTATCAAAAAGTCGAAACTATTTTTGACCATTTCGACTATCCAAAAAGTCAAAATGGTTTCATTTCGACTTCATGTATAGTCATGTCACGAGGGGTCAATACACCCAACATGAGTCACCCACATCAGTTCCACCTCCTTAGCACACAGGACTTTACAGCCGGTCCAAAGTGAGGCATTGCACCTAAGGGAGCCAGACACAGGGGGTCTTACACGGTACTTCATCATTGCATGACTTTTCTCTGACCAATACTATTATACAAATTCTATGACTTATATATCAACTTTTTTCAAGTTGTGCAAAATATGGGATACTAACCATTTCATTGGATTAAATTTATTCCATAATTTTTATTGTGTAATCTAAAAAAAATAAATTCAAAAGTAGACTGTTAAATACAAGATGTATGACGACATACGAAGCTGCCAAAGCAAGTTTGTAAAATATACTGATCAATTATTGAATAGCTTGTATCTAAATAAGTGTTAAAAGTCAAGATCTATGAATCTGGTTGCATAATATATTTAATGAGCGCTTTATCAATTATTCAAATAATTATATAGGCGGGCCTGGTCGAAGCAAGTGTTAAAGTCAAGATCTATTTGCAAATCAAGTTTCCAAAACGAACGTTTATTATTATAGGCGGGTTTGATCAAAGTAAGTCTTAAAGTCGAGATCTATGAAGCTGTTTGTAAATGTATTTAATTAACGTTTTATTATTATCAATTATTCAATAATTATATAGGCGGGTTTGATCGAAGTAAGTATTAAAGTAGTCGAGATCTACGAAGCTGTTTGATAAAATATATTTATCAACGTTTTATTATTATCAATTATTCAAATAATTATATAGACGGGTTTGATCGAAGCAAGCGTCAAAGTTAAGATCTATGAAGTCTGCAAAATGAATGCTTATCAATTATTCAATAATTATATAGGCGGGTTTGATCGAAGTAAGTATTAAAGTAGTCGAGATCTATGAAGCTGTTTGATAAAATGTATTTAATTAACGTTTTATTATTATCAATTATCAAATAATTATATAGGCGGGTTTGATCGAAATGAATGTTAATCAAGATCTATGAAGTCTGCAAAATGAATGCTTATCAATTATTTAATAATTATATAGGCGGGTTTGATCGGTCAAGATCTATACAATTAGATTGTTAATAGTTAATAATGGAATTTTATTACATACAAAAAAAAAATTTTTTTACAAATTTTGTTTTGTTAAATAAATTTGTTTGATTTTTTCATACGTCGTTCATGTTTTGTCTTGATCGTATATCTTAAATTGGTCGCGTTTACAATCATTTTGCATTCGTTATATTAAGGTTATTTTGATTATATCGAGAGATATGGTCAAGAGAAGAGTTAGGAAGAGAGTTATTCTTCAACCAAGTCGAAAACCAACCCTTTAAATACATTTTCGAGTAGTACGATTTTAATTTATTAGACTATTTCAAATGGTTGCTTCCAACTTCTTAAATTCGAACCATTTGTTAACAAAACAACTATTGGTGAAGTGATTGTTGACAAAATGAATCAATGTTTTATATTAACGTTTATTTTTACGTTATCAAATTCACGATTTGATTGGTAGATCAACAATTGCGTGGGTTAAAATCATTTCGTAGACATTCATTATATTAAGGTTTTTTTGATTATGTCGAGAGATATGGTCAAGAGAAGAGTTAGAAAGAGAGTTGTTTTTCGACCAAGTCGAAAACCAACCCTTTAAATACATCTTCGAGTAGTACAATTTAATTTATTAGACTATTTTGAAGGTTTGTCGCATGCTTTCTTCCAAATTCTTAAATTTGAACCATTTGTCGAATATTTTTATTAGCTCTCATATTAATATAAATAATTCATTTATTTTTACGTTATCAAACTCACGATTTTGATTGGTCAATCAATGATTACATGTATTAAAATTTTGTGTTAAACATAGCTCTAAATCTTTAATTAGTTTCGACTAAATATAAATAAACATTTAAAACCAAAATTATCCACTAATTAAATTAATATGTTAGTAAACCTATTCCACATAAACATAATAAACAATTGTTATCATCAATTAATTCACACTCTCCCAAACATAATTGATAATAATGCAAATTAACATGAATTGTTGTAGAAATGAACTGTCGACGAAATGAACTTCGAGGAAATAATTTTCGACAAAATGAACTTTCGACAAAATGAACTTTCGACAAAATGAACTTTCGACAAAATAAACTTTCGATGAAATGAACTTTCGACGAAATGATTGTCGATGAAGTGATTGTCGACGAAGTGATTGTCGACGAAATAATTTTCGACGAAATGAACTTTTGACGAAACAAACTTTCGACGAAATGAATCAGTCCCAAATAAATAATACTTTTGTCCTGTAGGTGATTATAATGAATCTAATGTGCAACAAATAATAAACAAGCCCTAAATGTAAATGCGAGTATGAATAAAATGATCATTCTTAATTTTTTTCCATATCTATTTTCATTAAAAAATATAAAGCATTCATCCAATAAACTCTGCAAGTGTATGATTGTCCTGCTTCGTAAATACATGATAATCTTTTACTATTAGAAATGTTTTGAATCATTATATTATATCCAATAATAAATTATGATTTTTTTTCTTTTGTATTTTTCATTTGCATTTTTCATTTGCAAGTTCTTTGAACATGAATCAAGTTGTGGTTTCGTTTAAGCCTGTGTCATTTACATGCTTAGTTGTGATTATGCTAACTAGTGCATTTGCATATTTTATAATATGAAAAACTTGAAGCAGGCTTTAATAATATGCATATCAAATCTTATGGTTCTATCGATACTATCACCTACATACAATGTTTGAAATAAAGTTATAGTTTCAATAGTTATTGAACTGGTTTAAAAGAAATTTTTTAAATAATTTACTCCATTCATAATGTCACCTTATAATAATAATAATAGTTAATTTGATTGGAAAATAGAAAAGGGCCTAACTACGAAAATCATGATTCTGAATTAATAATATCTAGCTTATATAGAAACTAGATAGAGAGTAGGTATAATATTATTATAATTAATTACCAAGACATTTTTAATAAATATAAAAGAATCATCGTGTTTGTAACTCTCATCTGCTTTATCACCATCAAAAAAGAATGCTAATGTGGGAAGCATTCGATGTGAAAATTATTTTCGAAGAAAAATAAATATTAATAATTTGATTGTAAGACTGTAGCACAAAAATTTAAATTCAATTGTTTATAAAAAATTTAAATTGGAAGCATGGAACCAATTAGTTTTTTTACCTGTGCAAACTGTCGACATGTGATAAAAATTGATGAATCTTTGTTAGACCTTAACAATGGTTCAATAGATATACTGTTACGTATGTATTTCTAATATATCTTATTTTAACATTAAAATGATTACTCATGCAAAGGACATGAATGTTACCTTTGACAAATTATTTAATTTAGCACCATTACCTGAAGAAACATCAAAAGTTTCAGACTTGAATAAAACAGACTTTAAGTTAAAAAAGAAAACTAGTTTTAATGACTTTAATAATAATAATGATGATGTTGATGGTTACCAATCTAAAAAAAGGTCAATGTCTACAGCAAGTGAGTCACGCGGAATGACAAGATATGCAAGTATAGGTTCAACTAAACAGAAGAAAGATTCTTACTTGGCACCATCAGAATCTTATGTGATGCTATCACGATCACATGAGAATGGATTATCATCTGATAGTGGCGATATAAGTAACAGCATTATTATCAATGATGATAGACAGCAACGGGCCAGTATTAGTTATCGATTGAAAGTAACGAATCGTCTTTTTGATTTGATGAATTCGAGATCAGAGTTGTCTCATCCAATGTGCCAAGAATGTACCGAGATGTTATTGGATAGTTTGAGTAAACAGTTAACAGACACTTCAAAAGAACGTGATTGTTATAAAGATTTTTTAAAGAAAATGAATGGAAGTATTATTAGTGATGAAGAGACTGAAAAATTACAAAAAGAAATTCAAGAGGCAAGCCATTGATAGCAATTAATTATGCAATTTCATATATATGTTATTTATAGGCAAAGTTCATAATTATAATATTAATAACAATGATTAAGTTATTATTTATTAATTTATTTATTTTGGTGGATAGATTAAAAATAAAGAATTGGCAGCAACTGATATGTTGAAAGATATTGAACATGAGAGAGAAGTATTGAAAAAAGAATTAGAAAAATTAGAGGCAGAAACAAGTCAACTTGATGAGCTCGAAGAAAAGTAATTACATACATACATAAAGAATATCTGATTGTTTGTTTTGATTATTACAATTATATCTATACTAATTATCATAATTTTTTTTTTAAAATAATAGTTATTGGAAAGAATTTAATAATTTTCATATTCAATTACAATCTTTTCAAAATGATAGGGATAGTATAAATTTAAAATATGACCATGATACAAAATTATTAGAAAAATTACATAGAACCAATGTCTATAATGACACTTTTTGTATTGGTCATGATGGATATTTTGGAACTATAAATGGATTTCGACTTGGACGTTTACCCAAAATTCCGGTAAATTATTACTATCATAATTATAATTATAATTTTTACAAAAGTTTTAAACATAAAAATATATAAGGTGGAGTGGAATGAAATCAATGCTGCATGGGGACAAACTGCATTATTGCTATCAATAATTGCAAAACGGCTTAAATTTACATTTCAAAAGTATGTAATTTTATAATTCTTTAAAACAAAAATTTTAAATAATGTAGAAATGTATTGATTTTCGTTATTCTATTTTATTTTATTTTTATTTAGTTATAGATTAATTCCATTAGGCTCTTTTTCACGAGTTGAAAAAATTGATGGTGACAGTATAACAAGTTATGAATTGTAAGTATTCAATCATTTCTTTTTATTTTAAATGTTCAAAATATATATATTTGTATATAATTATTTTAATCAAAACTATTACAGGTATGGTACAGGTGATATTGCAATAGGAAGATTATTTCAGAATCGTCGTTTTGATAGTGCAATGGTAGGATTTTTGAATTGCCTACAGCAATTAGGAGAATATGTGGAAAGTGAAGATCCCAAATTAAATTTACCATACCGGTAGGATCTTGTTTTGTTTTGTTTTTGTGAATAAATCAGAAACAATTTGCCATGATTTTCTTCCTTCATATTTATTTATCTATTTGATTTATCATTCTCACAATTACACACACATATACATATAGAATTAACAAAGATAAAATCAACGATGCATCGATACGACTACAATTCAGTGTGGAAGAATGGACAAGAGCATTAAAATATACTTTGGCATATCTTAAATGGATTTTAGCATATGCATCATCAATTAAAAATGGATCTGGCAAAAATTAATTCAACAGATTGAATATTGAAATATTGAATAGAATTTGTTTTATTATTTATTTATGGTTTAAATTTTTATTTATTTAAATTTTTTTTTTGTGTGGTAACAGAAATAAATATATTTACTGAATAATGAATATTTTTTTTTGAGTTGTGCCATCAAAAATGTGTTGTCTCTAGTTTTGAAAGACTCACGTGATTCCGGAAACTCATTCTTGGGAACCATTGTGATCAGTTGATTGATCTCTTTGTAATATTCATTAGAGTCGTTTTACATTTTTTCCATATACATATTATATATTGTGGCAGTTCAATTTTGACATCATAATCTAATGTTAGTAAATGTGTAAACATTAAATATTCCAATTACTATTATTACTATAGTGCGGGTCATACACTAACTCATCTTGGTCAGCTTTAAAGCTAGATAGGGAAATATTGAATTCTTATCTGAAAAAAGAAAGTCAATATTTGATAGCTTCTACAATTCATTGTCGAGATAATAAAAAATTACTGGTCTCAGGGTTATTTTGTTTTAAAAATCATGTGTTTTATATGTTTTATATTTTCTAAATTGAAGCATTTGAAATTTTTAAAAGCTAATTCTGGAACTAATACTAATACAGTCAAACCTTGATAAACCGAACTACTATAAACCGATTTTCGCTTTATAACGATACAAAATTGATTAACCGAATCGTGTTTAATAAAAATTATTTCGTTAAGCCGAATTTTATTATAATTTCTACTTTACTTGATAAACCGAACTTAATGGATTGTACAAATAATAAAAATGTAACTTTCTAAGCCGAATATGATCATAAACTTGTTTTAAAAATTCGTCTTATAATGGATAAAATTCGGTTTAAAAATAATGTCGATCTATTTTCTATGAAATTTCTACTTTAACGCATGTTCTAATAAAAAAGCACGAAAATTAGAATTTTTGAAGTTAATAATGTTGAAATTGAAGTTGAATAAGAAAATCGTGAAGTTCAAGATTTAATTAACTAACTCCCATTTGATGATTCACTTTTAGCGGACGAATATTTAAATATTGAGAATAACATGGTTGCAGGTGAATTAGTAATGGAAGATTAGGATATTATTGCATTAATTCAATCAACAGAAATAGATGAGCAAGCAATAGGATGAAACCTTTATTCCAAAAATTTCTAATAATGGGATTTATTAAATTTTTTAGTATACCCTCCAAGTGATTTCGATGTATATGAAGATGAATTAATGTAAAAAAAAATAATATTAATATTAATTTCACATGTATAATGTCTTTAACAATAAATTTAATTGATAATACATGATTTTTAAGTTCATTAAACCTTTACCTCTAAGAATATTTATTATAGAGTCCACTCACACTTTCTAATAATAACGGATCCTCTGTAACATACTGAGAATGATATATCAATATTGATATTAATATTAAGCCCGACCTATATGTCCAATATTAATATATATAAATTATATTGTTGATAACGGATTACCTATAATAAACATTTTTCCCTAGTTATAATATTAATACTAATACTAATACTAAGTCTAACGGTTCGTTATAGAGTGAACTGTATATAGAAAGAAAGAATTTTTATTATTGTAAATGCAATTAAGATTCAATAATAACAAAAATATTACTAAAAAACAAATTTTCTATATAAAAATTTCCAACAATCCACGAGTGCTAAAGAGTAAACTTTTTTCTTTACTTAAAGTAAAATAAAATATATTAATATGTTTTCTGAGTTATGTTTATCTGCACGCCAAAAAAAAAATTTTATGTAGTGGAGCAACCAATTATTTAGATTAACAAGTAAAAACTTCAACAATACATAAATATGTAATTGATTGATTTACGTTAATTACGTTAGATCATCATCATCAGCATAATAATAAACTAGGGGTGCATAATATCGATGCCCACGGCTTTAAAGTATAATAATAATAATAATAAATTTACATATTCAAAAAGAGTTAATCAATCAATTAAATATTTTTTCCATACTTACAAAACTTGTGCAAGTCTGTATTCCTTATCAAATAATGCTTCTCTATTTGGTGGTGGTGGTTTTGATAAAACATTATCCTGCTTATTATCAACAATGAAAGGATTTTGTAATAATTCCTTTATAATAGGTGAACCGATCACTTCAACAATTGGTTCAACTGTGTCATTTTGAGGCTTTTGGTTGTTTTGACGAAGACTAGAAGAAAGTAAAAATAATTTAATCTTAAAAAGTATATTATATAAGGTAAATAAACACATTTTCTCTTTTTCAATTAAAATTAGATAGTTAACTCTTCGTTTGTTGAAGTTAAAATGGAATGTTTATGATCAGGTGTAACCGTAATTTTTGAATTCGTATTTTTCCAATATTATTATTTTGCGTTTGAAGTTGACTGTTGAAACTAATATTAATAATTATTTACACTTCAATGCAAAAATCCATCATCTAAAATTTCAATTCACTAAATTCGACGCGTATTATAATTATCATAAAAATTTTTACTGATTGAATAAACGGGGTTTTTTTTAATTGAAAAAATGTCAAATTTCTCAACGGAAACGGAAAGTAATATTAAAAAAAATTGATATTAATATGATGAATGTAACAATTAATTTATCATCGTCCGTCCGTCAATCATTTTATAATAATAATCTATAAAAAATATGTTTTATTGATTTAACCGGCTGTAATACGAACAATCGAATATAAACTTTTTTTTTCACACATAATTTAAATATAGCAAAAGAAACTAATTAATTGAAGGAATTGAAATCGTGTAGTAAAGATGCAAAAAGAAAATTAATTTTTTATTTATAATTTAATTAATATATATATATACATATGCATTATTTGTTCTAATAATAATAAAAATACTAATTGTTTTTTTACACACGAGTAATTTTTTTATAATAAGATTTAACAGATCTCCATTCATTCTGATAGACTTCTTGTGATTTTTGAAGTCGATTATTAGTTCGAGGTCTTTTTTCTTGATGTTCATTACCATTATTAATTCCTTCACGTTTTCTTTTGTGTTCAATAGATTTATGTTCATTCTGGGATGTTCCTTGTGATTTTTGAAGTTGATTATTATTAGTTTGAGGTCTTTTTTCTTGATGTCTATTACCATTATTAATTCCTTCATGTTTGCTTTTATGTTCAATAGATCTACTATGTTCATTCTGAGATGTTTCTTGTGATTTTTGAGGTTGATTATTATTAGTTCGAGGTCTTTTTTCTTGATGTTTATTACCATTATTAATTCCTTCATGTTTTCTTTTGCGTTCAATAGATCTATGTTCATTCTGACATGTTTCTTGTGGTTTTTGATCTTTGCATTTATCATCATCACCAAATAAATTCATATCTTTTTTTAAATATACCCAGACCTTGTCATGTTCTGCCACAATTTGTTCGAAAAATGAATTATGTTTGGTATTAAGATGATGCTCCATATTTTTTGGTGAATAAAGATGAATACGTTCTTCTCCTTCACAACCTAACAACATACATCTAAAAATTGGTGCTTTGATACCCATAATAATTGCAGATTTTACTGTAATAATATTTCCTTCAGGGAAATAAGAATCAAGTTGTTTTGCTTCTTTTGCTAGCACTGGTACTACTTGCTCTTCTAGATATCTCTCTGAATAAATTGTGTAGGCATCACCTTGATATATTGGTGGGTCCTTAAAACTATGACAATGTTGAAGAATTGTATAGATATCAACCTGAGAATATCTAAGAGGGTTATCTATCTCTTCAAGGAATGTTTCAGCAACTTGTTTATTAGGTCCAAGGCGAGGCCATTTTTTTAGCAAGTATTTCAAGATAAGTTCCTGTCGATGTGGCTTTTCTGCTTCATAGATTATTTGATTTTTTAATCTTTTCCAGTACTGTTTTGAAGGTTGTTTATCAACCTCAGCAAAATGGAAGATTGCTCTTTTATACGAAGTGAAATGAGTTTGAATATAACGAGATC